GGCTGCACCCCCCTCCCTCCTGCCCTGCCCTGGCTCCCGCAAGCCCCATCTCAGGAAGCTCTAGTGGTGTCTGCAGGGATGTGGTGGCGAGGGGTGGAGTCTGGGGCAGACTATTTCCATCCAGAACAAGCTGTTCTAGGAAATCCTCCTAAGTGAGCGTCTGACAACCCCTAACCTCATTCCCGCCATGGCCCTGTGCCTGCAGGGAGCTGCCAGCCCTCCACACATGCGCACACACGTGTGCCTGATCTCACACATCCACACACGTGCACAGGCATGCACACATAGACGCATGCATACTTGCACACGTGCACACAAGCATGCACAGATGAACATGCGGGTGCTGGCATACACATGCATCCATGTATTCACATGCACACACACGCATGCACACACATACGTAGACACATGCACAGACGTGCACACATGCATAAGTGTAAACATGCCTGTGCAGGCATACACACATGCATGCATGCACACAGTGCGTGGGCATGCTCACATGCACATACACTCACGGCATACACACGTGTATAGGCATGCATGCATGCAGCTGTGCACATGCACACGTGCACAGGCATACACAGACATGCACATGTGCACACATACACAGGCATGCATACATGAGCACACTCACACCATGCATGTATTCACATGCACACATACAGACATGCATACGTGCGCACACAGACACGTGCACAGGCATACACACATGTATACACACATTGCACAGGTATGCACATATGCTCACATGCGCACACACGTGCACAGGCGTACACACGTATACACACATTGCACAGCTATGCACATATGCTCACATGCACACACGTGCACAGCCGTACACGTATACACATCGCACAGCTATGCACATGCTCACATGCATACACACACGTGCACAAGCATACACACATGTATACTTACTGCACAGCTATGCACATATGCTTACATGCACACACACGTGCACAGGCGTACACACGTATACACACATTGCACAGCTATGCACATAGGCTCACATGCACACACACACAGGCGTACACACATGTATACACACATTGCACAGCTATGCACATATGCTCACATGCACACACACACGTGCACAGGCGTACACACACACGCATACACGTGCCAACAGGACCAGCCTGACCTCCCTGGCTCCAGGCCACCCTCAGTCCTCCCACATCCTCCTGCCTTGGAAAACTCCCGGGCCTGGCTGCTGGGGCCCAGCCTGGCCACAGACTTCTTGGCATCCTGCCGGGTAGTGGGGCCACTCCGGTTGGCTCAGCCTCCATGCCCAGGCCTCACCAGTATTCCCCCGTGAGTGTTCACAGGCCAGGCATGAGTGGAGGCATCACCCTTCCTGGCCCCTGTGTGGGTGTCCTGGGTGCCAGTCTCCTCCAGAGCCGGGTGTTCCCAGGGTCTCGGCCCTGCTGACCTGCTTCTGGGAAGTGTCCCAGTGACACCTTTGCTCCCACACAGCGTGATATGTGCAGGGCCATGGGGACAGCTGGTTCCCTAACCAAGAAAGCAGAGGAGAAGCTGCACATCCCCCGTGGCTCGGTCCAGGATCTGAGCTCTCCCTGGGCTACAGCCATCAGAGAGAACGGAAGTTCCCTGCGTGGTGACCCCATTTGGGGAAGGACGCAGCAATGCTGGGAGGACAGAGGTGGCAGGGACAGGCTGGCAAGGCGGGGGGACAGGCTGGCGAGGCGGGGGGACAGGCTGGCGAGGCGGGGGGACAGGCTGGCGAGGCGGGGGGACAGGCTGGCGAGGCGGGGGGACAGGCTGGTGAGGCGGGGGGACAGGCTGGCGAGGCGGGGGGACAGGCTGGCAAGGCGGGGTGCCTCAAGATGCTTGCAGGTGCCTGTGGAACCATCAGCAGGGGACCCAAGGCACAGGAACACACCGTTTCTCATCAGGGCGTCACTCAAGGACACCAGGTGACATGTGGGGACATCCCTGGTGCTCAGCACCCTGCAGCACCCAGGACAGCTCCCGACAGAGACTGAGCTGGCCCCCCGCATCAGCAGTGTTGAGACTGAGAAATCCTGAGTGAATTATTTGGAAAATAATTTGGAAGCTCCCCATGGGGCGGACAGTGGAAACCAGGGGGACCCAGCTCCTGGGACTCTCCTCCTCTCTCCCTCCCCCACTCAAGGTGTGGATTTCAATGTGTGCAGCCTCTTGGGGCCTCAGTGGGTCAGGGTCAGAGGATCATGGGATACAGTCTCCTGGAGGGTCTGTGGAATCCCCTAACCCAGGGGGTCTCACCCAGGGGTGAGTCTACCCCAGGGTACTTCTGGTGATGTCTGGGGACATCTGTGGTTGTTGTAACTGGCGGTGCCCCTGGCATGGAGTGGGTGGAGGCAGGGACACTGCCCAGCACCCTGCAGTGCCCAAAGGTCTAATCTGAGATAGCCTGGAGGGAGGGTGCTCAGGGCCAGGTCAGAGGGAAGCTCAATTATCACCTTGTTTGGACGGTCTCAGTCCATGTTTTACCTTACAAGAAACTTAAGAATCGTTCCTAAAAACGTGGCTCTCCAGGGCACACCGCCCTGAGATGCCATTCCTAGGGATCAGGTAGGGCCCAGGACACGGCATTGTCCAGGCAAGATGTGACCTTTAGTCCTCACTTGAAAAAGCTTCCTTGGGGCCAGGTGCTGTGGCTCACGCCTGTAATTCCAGCCCTTTGAGAGACAAAGATAGGAGGATCCCTTGAGCCCAGGAGTTTGAGACCAGCCTGGGCAACATAGCAAGACTCCATCTCTAAAAAAAAAAAATTGCCTGGGCCTGATGGTGCATGCCTGTAGTCCCATTTACCTATCTGGGAGGCTGAGGTGGGAGGATCACTTAAGCCCAGGAGGTTGAGGCTGCAGTAAGCCATGATCGTGCCTCTGCCCTCCAGCCTGGTGACACATAAATTGGCCAGGCACGGTGGCTCACGCCTGTAACCCCAACACTTTGGGAGGCCGAGGTAGGTGAATCACTTGAGGCCAGGAGTTCTAGACCAGCCTGGCCAACATGGTGAAACCCGTCTCTGCTAAAAATACAAAAATTAGCCGGGCTGGTGGTGGATGCCTATAATCCCAGCTACCTGGGAGGCTGGGGCATGAGAATCCCTTGAACCTGAGAGGCAGAGGTTGCAGTGAGCCGAGATCACGCCACTGTACTCCAGCCTGGGCCACAAAGTGAGACTTAAAAAAAAAACAATGACTAAGTGTGGTGGCTTACGCCTGTAATCCCAGCAGTTTGGGAGGCGGAGGCTGGTGGATCACGAGGTCAGGCATTGGAGACCAGCCTGGCCAAGATGGTGAAACCTCATCTCTACTAAAAATAGAAAATTTAGGTGTGTTGATGGGCACCTGTAATCCCAGCTACTTGGGAGACTGAGGCAGGAGAATTGCTTGAACCCGGGAAGCGGAGGTCGGGGTGAGCTGGGATCATGCTACTGCACTCCAGCCTGGGCGACAGAGCAAGACTCCATCTCAAAAAGAAAAAAGAAAAAGGCACCACCCGTCCCGAGGAGGCCCAGGCATTTCAGCTCCAGAGCCAGACTCCACCCCAGACTCCTCGAAATACCCAAAGTGGCCCTCTCTGGGGCTCTGTGTTCTCGCTTACTTTTGAAGCCGGGGTGAAAGTGGGAACGGGTGCCCTGTCATCTCCCCACTCACCCCTAATAGCAGCAGCAGCGGCTCCTGCCATAACATTCTTTGAGCGGGGCGGTTGGCATTTCCTCGGAATAGCGGGGCTGAAGGCATCCTCGGAGAATGCCCGATGCCCCAGGATCTGGGACTCTTGTGGGCTTCACCCACCCAGGCAGCCTGGGCCAGTCCTCACAAGCGTCATTCCCACACTGCGCCGGATGGAAATTCCAGAGCTTCGTAGAATCCCCTTTTCTGAAAAGGTGTGGACGCGGTGGCTCGCCCAGGTCGCACAGCCTCCACGGCCAGCTGGGGTTTGAACCCTAGACCAGCTGCTTCCCTCACACCCAGGGGCCTTCCAGGGGGTTGTCTGGATGGGGAGGGAAACCCATGTTTAGTGGGTGAGCCCACCTGAGTCCATCCATCAACTGTTGGTTTGTTTTTAAGACGGAGTTTCACACCATTGCCCAGGCTGGAATGTAGCGGTGCGATCTCGGCTCACTGCAGCCTCCGCCTCCAGGGTGCAAGTGATTCTCCTGCCTCAGCCTCCCAAGTAGCTGAGATTGCAGGCACCCGCTACCAAGCCTGCCTAATTTTTGTATTTTTAGCGGAGATGGGGATTCGCCATGTTGTCTAGGCTGGTCTTGAACTCCTGGCCTCAAGTGATCTGCCCGCCTCGACCTCCCAAAGCTCTGGGATTGCAGGCGTGAGCCACCGTGTCTGGCTTCCACCTGTTTCTTCATTCATTGATTCACTGAGGAAGGTGTGAGGGGCGGAGCTGGGAGCTGTCGGGGTTTGTGTTCCAGGCAGCCTGGGAAGGTAGTGAGGCCCCCGTCTGCAGAGTGATTCCAGCAAGAGACTGCAGAGGGTGGCTGCATGTCACTTCCGCCCCAGGGAGGCTCCGTTCCTTCCTCCTTTGTGGACGAGGGAACACTGAGCTGAGCGGGGGGTTTGTCTGTGCACCTTTGGCCGGTCACGGTCTAACTGGGCTTCCGACCTGACCCTCGCCACCCTCCCCGCCGCCTTTCCTAGGGCTCAAGTGACCCCCAGGTGATGGGGGGAAGCCCTGAGCCTTCCTGTCTCTCTGGAAGGAGAGTAGGCGAGGGCCGGGCTGTGAGGCCCCGGGCCACGCGCTGGCACCCGGCTCTGCATCCCCCAGCCGCGCTGCCCTGGTCAGCCCCTCTCTGCTCTGAGCCTCCGTGAACTCCTCTGCGTCATGAGCTGGCAGCCTCTCCCCCTCCAGATTCCGGGGGAAGAGGAGGCCGGGTGACGGGGCTTCCTGCCCCAGGAGGCTGGCTTTGGGGAAAGTCCAGGGCTCCTGGGGTGTGACCGGTCTGTGACGCCCTCATCCCATCCCCTCCACAGGCATCTCATCCCCGGTGAAGAAGACAGAGATGGACAAGTCACCGTTCAACAGCCCGTCCCCCCAGGACTCTCCCCGACTCTCCAGCTTCACCCAGCACCACCGGCCCGTCATCGCCGTGCACAGCGGTGAGCCCCACGGGACCCCGGCGGGGAGGGGTGGCAGGGCCCTCCGATCAGGCCTCTCACAGCCAGGGAAGTCCCACTGGATGTCTGACCATGAGTCCCATAGCTGTAGATTTCTAAGTGAGAAAAAAAACATAGAGGTGCCATGGTGGAGAGCGCCCAGGACCTGGTCCCAGCCCTGCCGAGAGGTTGGTCTCAGTCCCTTTGGGCCTCAGTTTCCTCCTCTGTATAAGGAGAGGCTGCAGCCTGGGGCTTACCCTTCACCTCACTCTCCTCATCCCCTGTCTCAATCCAATCCCTGCATTCCAACCCTAGACACTGACTGATAGACAGGATCCGAAGCTGCCAGTGAGGCCGGGCATGGTGGCTCATGTCTGTAATCCCAGCCCTTTGGGAGGCCGAGGAGGGCAGATGATCTGAGGTCAGGAGTTTGAGGCCAGCCTGACCAACATGGTAAAACCTTGTGTCTACTAAAAATACAAAAATTAGGCAAGTGTGGTGGCAGGTGCCTGTAATCCCAGCTATTCGGGAGGCTGAGGCAAGAGATTCGATTGAGCCCAGGAAGCAGGGGTTGCAGTGAGCCGAGATCGTGCCATTGTACTCCAGCCTGGGCGACAGAGCGAGACTTCGTCAAAAAAAGAAAGAAAGAAGAAGAAATTGCCAGTGAGGCCACAGCCTACAGCTGAGCACACAGCAGGCAGCCTCCCCAGAACCCTGAGGGTCAGGCTGCACCCCCATTTCACAGACCATGAGGCCAGTGCTCAGACCGGGGCCAGGGCCTCACTCATACCCAGAGGTGAGGGGGCCCCACCAAAGTCACCCGAGAGGGGTCACACTCACAGATAGACATAGACATTGGGTAACCACAGGTCGGGAGCTGAGCCGGTCACTCATACGGTAGCCGTCCATTCCCCCAACTGTCAACTGGGGCTGATAAGACAGCTCTACCTTGGCCGGGCGCGGGGGCTCCCGCCTATAATCCCAGCACTTGGGGAGGCCAAGGCAGGTGGATCACCTGAGGTCAGGAGTTCAAGACCAGCCTGGCCAACATGGTGAAACCTCGTCTCTACTAAAATACAAATATTAGCCGGGCATGGTGGCGCACGCCTGTAATCCCAGCTACTTAGTAGGCTGAGGCATGGGAATTGCTTGAACCCGGGAGGCGGAGGCTGCAGTGAGCCAAGATTGTGCCACTGCACTCCAGCCTGGGAGACAGAGCGATACTTCCTCTCAACAAAGCAAAACAAAAATTCTCCGCCTCCCGTGGCTGCCATTGGGATTAAGGGGGGTGAATTGCAGGAAGCCGCAAATACTGCTTACGATCTCATGTTCTAGTGATAAATCATTTCGTTCCTTACAAGGACACAGTCACACACAGAGAGGCAAACCAAAATCAAAGCAGTCATGAAGGCCAGCGGGCAGCAAACAGCAGCCCTCTGGCCGCCTGTTCTTTCGAATAAAGTTTTATTGGCACACAGCCACGAGCACGCCTTTGTATATGTCCTGTGGCAACCCCCACCCTGCCTTGGCAGCATTGAGTAACTACAGCAGAGACCACATGGCCAAAAGCCAAAAATCTTTACTATCCAGCCAGAGGCTGGGGAGGCGGGGGAGTGACTGCTCTAAATAGTGAAAACACTAAAAATCGCGGACTAAACTGTTTAGAAAAAGGAAAAGGCAGGTAGCACAACAGAATACGACTCAGCCATGCAAAGGAGTGAGGCTCTGATGCAGGCCACAGCTCAGATGCACGTTGAGGACGTCCCACTCAGCAAGAGACACCAGACGCAAAAAGCCACCCTGTGTGACCCCATTTCTGTGAAATGTCCAGGACAGGCCAAGCCACAGAAGGGAGGGGAAGTGTGGGTGCTGGGGCTGGGGGTGGGGTGAAGAGTGACTGCCGATGGGGACGGGGCTTCTTGATGTGCTGGCATTAGGCTGGGTGCGGAGGCTCAGGCCTGTCATCTCAGCACTTTGGGAGGCTGCGGCAGGTGGATTGCTTGAGTCCAGGAGTTTGAGACCAGCCTGCGCAACATGATGAAACCCCATCTCTACTAAATATACAAAAAATTATCTAGGCGTGGTGGCACACGCCTGCAGTCCCCGCTACTCAGGAGGCTGAGGTGGGTGAATCACCTGAGGTCAGGAGGTTGAGGCTGCAGCGAGCCATGATCATGCCACTCCAGCTGGTGACAAAGTGAAGTTCTATCTCTTAAAAAAAAAAAAAAAAAAGGCCACGGTCGGTGGCTGACCCCTATAATCCCAGCACTTTGAGAGGCTGAGGCAGGCAGATTACCTGAGGTCAGGAGTTCGAGACCAGCCTGATCACCATGGAGAGAGCCTGTCTCTACTAAAAATACAAAATTAGCCTAGTGTGATGACACACACTCGTAATCTTAGCTACTCAGGAGTCTGAGGCAAGAGAATCACTTGAACCCGGAAGACAGAGGTTGCAGTGAGCCGAGATCATGCCATTGCACTGTAGCCTGGGCAACAAGAGTGAAACTGTGTCTCAAAAAAAAAAAAAAAAAATCACTCTTCAGCCATTCGCAGAAAGAGCTTGCCAACCCCAGCTTTATAATACAGGCCGTGGGCCCAGATGGGCTGGATTCAGATTTGAGATCTGCCATCTGATGCTGTGTGGCCTTGGTCAGGTGGCACATACCCTGAAGGCAACCTTGTCATCCTCTGTTAAAAGACGGGGCCAGGTGCAGTGGCTCACGCCTGTAATCCTAACACTTTGGGAGGCCGAGGCAGGCAGATCACTTGAGGTCAGGAGTTCGAGACCATCCTGGCCAATATGGTGAAACCCCGTCACTACTAAAATACAAAAATTAGCTGGGCATGGTGGCGCACGCCTGTCATCCCAGCTACTTGGGAGGCTGAGGCAGGAGAATTGCTTGAACCCAGGAAGTGGAGTTTGCAGTGAGCTGAGGTCCCACCACTGAACTTTAGCTTCGGCAACAGAGCCAGACTGTCTCAAAAAAAAAAAAAAAAAAAAAAAAAGCCAGCCGGGCTCAGGGGCTCACACCTGTAATCCCAGCACTTTGGGAGGCCGAGGAGGGAGGATTGCTTGAGCCCAGGAGTTTGAGACCCTCCAAACATGGCAAAACCCCCACCTCTGTAAAACTAAAACACAAGGATAATATCACAGCCCCATTGGGGTTGCCGTGGGAGCCGGGGAATTTAGGGGTAAATGTGCTGCTGGGTTTTTTTGGTTGTTGATATTATTATTATTAAACGCACTTGAGGAGAAGGGAAAAGAAATAAACGCACCGAGATGCAGGCAGGAACCACAGTCACACGGTCGCAGAGCAGACCGGCTGGCCCCCCCTCCTCCCCCGAGTAACCCCCGCCTCCCGCTGTCTCCGCAGGGATCGCCCGGAGCCCCCACCCGTCCTCCGCTCTTCACTTCCCCACGACATCCATCCTGCCCCAGACGGCCTCCACCTACTTCCCCCACACGGCCATCCGCTATCCGCCTCATCTCAACCCCCAGGACCCGCTCAAAGATCTCGTCTCGCTGGCCTGCGACCCAGCCAGCCAGCAGCCTGGACCGGTGAGTCAGGCGGGGTGCGTCCGGGCCTCTCCTGGCGGCTCCAGGTGACCGCCGGGGGCCGTGTGCTCACACGAACGCACAACCTCTGCTTTAAAGGGTCCTGGAGACTCGGTTCTGAAATCCCCTCCTCTGTAGGGCTGGGAGGCAGCTGGATTGGGTAAGACTTGAGACGCTTTCCTATGTGAGGGTTTCAGACGGGTCGGTGGCCTGCGCAGGTCCCGGCAACGGCGTGGGTCGTCCTTGGGTTAACAAGGCGGAGAGGCTCACGCCTGTGATCCCAGCACTTTAGGAGGCCAAGGCGGGAGGACTGCATAAGCCCAGAGTTTAAGACCAGCCTGGGCAACAGAGCGTGACCCGGTTTCTACAAAAAATCTTTTAAAAATAGCCAGGCATGGTGGTGTGCGCCTGTAGCCCCAGCTACTGAAGAGGCTGAGGTGGGAGGATCGCTTGAGCCCGGGAGGTGGAGGCTGCTGTGAGCTGTTATTGTGCCACTGCACCCCAGCCTGGGTGACAGAGCAAGACCTTGTCTCAACAAGAAAAAATCCCTGGTGGTCTAGTGGTTAGGATTCAGGGGAAAAAAAAAGAAAAAAAAGGACAGGAAGAAATTGATTGCAAAAAAACTACCAAACTCAGTTCAAGCAAGCCAGCTTTCGCCAGCCTTCCGCAGGAGGCTTTGGGTGTTGGGAGTGTTTTGGACTTTGGAAGCATGGGCCAGGCCGTGGGTGGTGGACGGTTGCGTGCTTATATGGAACGAGGCACACACGGAGGGCTTGCTGTGAGGAGGCCGTGGCGCTGTTTGGAAGGACGTCGGTCGAGTTGCCGTGCAGGGGGTTTACGGGGGACATGCAGCGAGCGAGGCCCCGGCAGTGCCGGGCTTCGAGTGACGCCGGGAAGTGGGTGTCCCCAGGCCCCTCAGACCCACCAGACCCGTCACAGCCACACCCGCGCCCTGGCCCCCCAGCCTGCTAGCTTCCCCGCCCGGGCCGTGCACAGAGCCGGGGGCGGCCGGCGCCAGCAGACCGAGGCAGAGGGGGAGCCCAGTCCTTAACCATGTGTCTCTCTGTTCCCCCAGTTAAATGGAAGTGGTCAGCTCAAAATGCCCAGCCACTGCCTTTCCGCTCAGATGCTGGCTCCTCCGCCCCCGGGGCTGCCACGGCTGGCGCTCCCCCCTGTCACCAAACCCGCCACCACCTCCGAGGGAGGAGCCACGTCGCCGACCTCGCCCTGTAAGCACGCGGGAAGCGGTGCCCTGGTGGGGCGGACGTCCGCAGGGAGGCCTGTCCTCTCCCCAGCCCCACTGCCAGGTCAGAGGTCAGGCCCAGCCCCGCAGGACCTGGCGAGTTTGGTGGGTCACCGGAGAGCAGCCCAGGGGCCGTGTGGTCTGGCCACGTAGGGCCGAGGCAGCCTTAGGGGCTGGCAGGACCAAGCCACAGCCCAGGGTGAGAGTCCAGGGTCTGTCCCCTTCGCTGAGTAGCCTGGGGGACCCCGGTGCCCGCCGCAGGCTGCTGAAAACCTTCCCTGGTATGTCGGGAAGCTGTCGGTGGACACAGATCTCAGGTGGCAGCCCAAGGGCCAGACTCGACCCCCAGACTGGTCTTTCGTTTGTGGAAAAGTAGAATCAGTGTGATCGTTTTAAAATCAGGACGTTTCACATAAAACATTCTGGAGTTCCGGCTTCTTGGGGAGAAATGAGCCACATCCGGCCCAGTTCCTTTGGGTGACCTGGCTGGAGCACACCTTTAGATGGGACCCCCTTCACCTGCCACCTTACCCGGAAGCCCCTGGGTCGCCGGCCGCTGCAGCTTCTAGACTTTTCCACTCTCTGGATGTGGTTCTGGATGGCCACTGGATGACCCCTCGGCCCTGGGATCCCAGCCTGAGTATACCATAGACACTTAATAGATGCAGGACACCACGTAGGATCTGCGTGGAGTTCGTTTGCAGCAGCTCTGCCCCCACCCCGTTTATCCAAAGCACCTCTGCCCCCAGACTCTCCCTGCAACCCCTGTGCAGGCTTGGGTGGGTCACCCACCCTCACAGGCCGCCAGACATCTCAGAGCCTAGAGAGGACCCCATCTTCCCCTCACCCCCCTTTTTGAACATCTCTGTCCCTCACACTCAAGTGAGACCCCACAGCCCTCTTGAGCAGTTGGTGGCCACGGCTCCTTCTAGGTGTCCTTGGCTCCTCTTTCCCTGCCCCAGCGTTCCTTGCCCCGTTTCCACTGTCTGCCAGAACCGGGGCTGCCAGCCGGTAAAAACCGGCTTCTGATCACTGGCTGGAGGGGGTCAGCCCCAAATCTACCCTGGGCTGGAATCCCGCCTCTGCAGCTCTCTCCCGGTGTGACCTCAGGCAGGCGTCTTCTCCTCTCTGAGCCTCAGTTTTCTCAGCTGCAAAATGGGTCTGCCGTGGTGCCCGGTTCACAGGATGGTGGGGAATTAGCTGGTGACATGGGTCAGGGAGGACATTCTGTGTGGCGCCCGATGCTGTGCTGTGTCAGGCGGCTGTGGTAATTCTCACCAGCCATCCCTGCCTGCTCCTCTGTGAAATGGGAGCATTGACTGCATAGAATTCGCTCAGGGCTCTGTGGGATTCTGCCCACTGCCCGGCATACAGTAGACACTTAATAGATGCAGGATACTGCACAGGATCGACTCAGGGCTCAGTAAGATTATTCCTAGTGCCTAGCATACAGTAGACACTTAATAGATGCAGGTTACTGCGTAGGATCTACTCAGGGCTCAGTGGGATTATGTCCAATGCCTGGTATACAGTAGACACTTAATAGATGCAGAATACTGCATAGGATCTACTCAGAGCTCAATGGGATTATGTCCAGTACCTGGTATACAGTAGATACTTAACAGGTGCAGGATACTGCATAGAATCCACTCAGAGGTCAATGGGATTATGTCCAGTGTCTGGTATGCAGTAGGTGCTTAATAGATGCAGGATACTGTGTAGGGTCCACTCAGGGCTCAGTGGGATTGTGCCCAGTGCCTGGCATACAGTGGGCACTTAATAGATGCAGGATACTGTGTCGTATCCACTCAGGACTCAGCGGGGTTATGTCCAGTGCCTGGCATACAGTAGATACTTAATAGATGCAGGACCCTGTCATATCCACTCAGAGCTCAATGGGATTATTTCCAGTGTCTGGTATACAGTAGACACTTAATAGATGCAGGATACTGTGTAGGGTCCACTCAGGGCTCGGTGGGATTATGCCCAGTGCCTGGCATACAGTAGAAACTTAATAGATGCAGGAGCCAGGCGCGGTGGCTCACGCCTGTAATCCCAGCACTTTGGGAGGCCGAAGCGGGTGGATCACGAGGTCAAGAGATCGAGACCATCCTGGTCAACATGGTGAAACCCGGTCTCTACTAAAGGTGCAAAAAATTAGCTGGGCATGGTGGCGCGTGCCTGTAATCCCAGCTACTCAGGAGGCTGAGGCAGGAGAATTGCCTGAACCCAGGAGGCGGAGGTTGCGGTGAGCCGAGATCGCGCCATTGCACTCCAGCCTGGGTAACAAGAGCGAAACTCCGTCTCAAAAAAAAAAAAAAAAAAGATAGATGCAGGATACTGTGTAGGGTCCTCTCAGGGCTCGGTGGGATTATGCCCAGTGCCTGGTATATCGTAGACACTTAAGAGATGCAGGATACTGTGTAGGGTCCAGTCAGGGCTCTGTGTGATCATGCCCAGTGCCTGGCATACAGTAGACACTTAAGAGATGCAAGATACTGTGTAGGGTCCACTGAGGGTTTGGTGGGATGATTTCCAGTGCCTGGTATATAGTAGACACTTAAGAGATGCAGGATACTGTGTAGGGTCCACTCAGGGCTCGGTGGGATTATGCCCAGTGCCTGGTATATAGTAGACACTTAATAGATGCAGGATACTGTGTAGGGTCCGCTCAGGGCTCGGCGTGATCATGCCCAGTGCCTGGCATGCAGTAGACACTTCATAAAGGCAGGATAGGCATGGATTCCACCCCCCTTTCCCTGCAGTGGGGCTCTTAACTGCAGATCCAGCCCACTTCTCCCGCTAAGCCTGGCTGCCTCCAGCTCCCCTCAACCCTAGCCAAGACAACTTGGGGACCCCGCCTGTTTCGGCTGCTTCTCCCCTCTCCTCGGCCTGTCTGTGGCCTCCGTCCCCGCCGTGGCACCAGGCGGTGAGTTACACGCCGGCAGAACAGAATGGCTGAGACTTGAAATATAAACACGCGCATCTGTATGTACGCACCCCCAGCCCTCCTTCTGCCCTCTCTGGGAGGAAGATGAATAAGTCAAACGCCCTCAATAATGCATGCACCCTGCACGGAGGCAGCCCGCGGTGGCAGGACGGGGTGGGCACTGGCACACCCTGGATAATTGACAGGCGGTTCGTGAGTTATGGAGCCGTCCTCCCTGCCGTCCCTCTCAGCAGACACCCCGCCCACCTGGGCGATCTCAGCCGTGACCCCTGGGCCCCTCCAGGCAGGATCCCCGCCTCCCAGGGACCTCAGGCCTTTCAAGGGGGCCCGGTTCAGCCGGGGGAGGGCAGCAGGCTCTGAGGCCCCAGGCACCGGGTGCGGAGGCTCAGCTGTGTGGCACCCGGCGGCGGCCACCCTCTCTGGGCCCAGGGCCGCCCGGCCGCCGCGACCCCTCGCTAACGGGCTCTCGGTCTCTCTCCTCCCTGCAGCCTACTCTCCGCCCGACACGTCCCCTGCAAACCGTTCCTTTGTGGGATTAGGACCAAGGGATCCTGCGGGCATTTATCAGGCACAGGTAGGGGCCAAGAGGCCGGCTGGGGGGGCGGGAGGGGCAGGGCAGAGGGGCCGGCCCAGGGGGGCTCAGAGCAAAGAGGGCGTGCTGGGTCCCACGCCACACCCTCCGGCATAGGGGCACCAGCCTCCAGCACCCCACCTGGGCCTTGAGCCTCCCACACCCCACCCGGGCCTCGAGCCCCCGCCTGGCCTCTCCCTGAGGCCAGATTTCCCTCCGCCTTGGTCCTGGGAGGATGGGGTGTGGCCCCGGACTCTGCCTGTGGAGTACGAGCTGTTTCCCGTTGTACAGATGGGAAAACTGAGGCCCGGAGAGATAAAGGGATCTGCCCAGGGTCACACAGGGCTTCACACCTCCCCCACCCTCCATCCCCTTCCATGCCGAGGCCTAGAGGGGCCACGGGATGCCCGGGGGAAACTGAGGCAACCCATGGCGGGGCGTGGGGCCTCCCACCCCAGGCTTCAGCCCACATCAGAGCCAGTGTGAGGGGTGCGGGCGGAGAGATGTCATCAGTAAGGCAGACAGGATGGGGCAGGGCTGGCACTCATGTCCCGGTTCCCCGTTCAGATGGCTGCAGCTGAGTGAGCGTGAGCCGGGGCACCCCCGGAAGGCAGGCAGGCGGTGAACAGGAGGCTCGGAGAGGGGAAGTGAACCCCAGCTTCCTGGGAAGGAGGGTGTGGGAGGGCAGCCGGACCCCCCCCCGGCCCAGGTGTCCCCGCCCCCACCCCAGTCAGGGGCTCTCTTCTGTGCCCGTTGAGTGTGTGAGGCTGCGGGTTAATGTCAGCGGCTGATCTTTGAGCCTCTCCTCCTCCCAGGTTTGTGCTGGGGAGGGTCGGAGGACGCAGGGTCGCAGGGGCGGCGGCCACAGGCTCAGACCCCAGACCCAGAGAGAACCCGGCTCCGGGCTCCCCGGCAGCCGCAGAACTGTGGAGCGTGGGGGTGATGCGTGGGCTCCCCAGGGGCTGTGTTCTAATCTTCTGGCCGCTGTGGGAGGTCTGCTGCTGCGGAGCCCACAGCAAGGGTCAGGGGGCCTCCCTGGGACCCTGCGGGGCCGTCCTGGCTGAGCCAGCCCCGGGGGAGGGGAGGTAGCACTCCCCCTCCCTTCCTGTGCCGGGTGCCCGGGAAGCCTGTAGGCGGCACCTCCCTCTCCTCCCGGGTGAGCCCTGGGCCCCAAAACCAGCCGGAGGAGGAAGCAGGCCACGGGACTTGAGGCTCCTTCTCCTGAGTTCAGAGGATTCCCGTGTGCTGTGGGCAGAGGGAATCCTGGGTCAGGAGCCAGGCCTCCAGCCCAGCACTGGTTCACCCACTCTGAACCTCTGTCTCTTCCTCTAGCCATGGACATCTGCACTAGGAGCCTTTGTCACTGGGGGACAGAAAGGGCACTGAAAGGTTCAGACTTCCCCATACCCCCTAAATATTAAGCACCCTGCCTTGCACCCACAGAGCCCCGGAGAGGGGAGCGACTTGGTTAGGGTCCCCCAGTGAGCTGGGGAGCCCCCAAGGTAGGCTTCCAGGACTCTCCGCTTTGGGATTTGGCCCCCACTCCCCTGCCAGGTGCTGATGGAGCCCGGTGTTACCTCTGCCACCCCCACTGGCGCCGCCCCCACGGGCACCTCTCCCTGCCCCTGCGGGAGGCTGGGAATGTCCTTAAGTGGTTCAGAAACCAAAGCTAATAAAAGCTGCGGGCAGAGGGAGGAGGCCCAGCCCGCTTAACCCTTCCCCAGCCTCTGCCTGGGACAAACTCTCTGACCTGGCCCTCCCACCAGGGCCCGGGGTGGCCCCCGTCTTACACAGTGCTGGCTCCAGCCGCACCCCACCCGAGCCTGGGAGGGGAGGGAAACTGAGGCAGGTGAGGGCGGCACGTTTCTCCGCATCCCTCTCTTGATCCGCTGGACCCCTCTGGGGACCCAGAAGCGGTGGGACCAGGGCTGGCAGAATGTGGTGGGGAGGGGCACTGGTAGGGGGCTGTGCATCGGCAGTGGTGTGGGGGTGGGCATGGGAAACAGCTGGAATATGGAGGCCTCTGGCAGCAGGGGCCAGACAGATGGCGTGGGCTTTGCTCTGGGGTAGTGGGGAGCCATGGAAGAGTTGAGAGGGAGGGGAGGGGCCCGTGCCAGGCCTCGGAGTCAGAGCTTTCCGGGGCACAGAAGGGAGGTGACACTGTCAGGACATTGTTCTCAGGGGAGCATGGCTTCGGGAGGAAGTGATGTCTCCAAACTGGGTGTCCGGGGAGGGCACGTCTGGGGAGGACCCCATCGGTGCCACCCTGACTGGACCACAGTTCCTGAACTGAAAGCACCCGGGGCGTGGCCAGGCGCCACCACCTCCCTGCAGACCCCGGAGAGGGAGGGAAGGAGCAGTGAGACCCCGCTCCCCCCACTGCCGCTCCCCGCTCCCCACCCCACTCCCGCTCAAAGGGCCCTGAGCTCCGAGGCCTCTCATTTCCAATTCTGGCCAGTCAGCACTTCAGCCTCCGCCTCCTCTATTCCTGGCTTCCCTCTGTCCCCTCCTCCCCCAAGCCTGGGCGGGCACCCCTTTCCCTGTGCCTCTGCAGCTCCCGTCCACGGACTCTTCCCCCATCAATATCCCTCCCTGTGATGAATGTTAATTGATCTCACCCTGGTCAGTTGTCTGCCCATCCCCCCACCCCCGTGTCCTTCGCCATCAATCCCCCACAGTGAGACTAGGTGGATCTGACGCCCCAGCCCCTCCCCTCTGTGATATCCCCCCCAAATTTCTCTGCACGGGAGCCCACGTAGCAGGTGGGTCAACTGAGGATGGGGGGTGCAGGGGGGCGTTGAGCCACCTGCCAGGAGCCACACAGGCGGCCGAAGCCAGGCCAGCAGGATGCCAGAGCCTGGACCTCACACCCGCCTCCGTCACCCCTTGGCTGAGGCGGAGGATGTAGAGTTGAGGGTGCCCCCACAACCATTGCTGGGGCCAGAACCAGGCAGGAAGGGGAGGGGAGGGAGGGGAGGGAGGAAGGAAGGGCTCAGGGGAGGCTGGTCCACGGGAGGGTCACGCCCAGAGTCTGCCGGTTGCCAACAGAAACCAGACATGAGGTAATGGCCAAGATGAACTTGAACTTGGCTGGAGGTGGGGCGCTGGGAACCATGGTGGCGCCAGTTAGATGGTCTGGCCCAGAGGCCGCCTGGTTGGAGGGGCTCTGTTGAATGATTTGCCACAGGGGTGGGGGCAGCCCTGCCTCTAACCTCAGTGGGGGACTAGAGGGGTCTCCCCAGGCCCGGAGGCACAGCCCTCCCCTCACAGGCCACGCTGGAGGCTCCATCGGGGTTGGAGTTTGCATTTCCAGGACAGGGGTCTGTACAGCAGCTTCTCTGCAGAGACTGAGGCCGGAGCTGTCCCCAGATCACGTGACCCTGGGTCCAGCCCCATGCAGACCTCCCCTCCCTGTGCTTTGTGAGCTTCTGTGGGGTGAGGGGGGCCATCCGGGTGTCTTGTGACAGGATGGGCCCTGGACTCCCAGGACAGTGCCCAGATGATGCCAAGGGGGTCCTGAGAGGAAGGCTAGGGGGTTGGCCCTGGGCAGGAGCAGAAATGAGAGCCAGAGCCAGACACTCCTGAGTTCCCGAGCTCACTCTGCCACTTCCATGCTGGTGACCTCCGGCAAGTTCCTTGACTTCTCTGGTCCTCACTTTCTTCACGCAAAACGGGGCAGTGGAGGGAGACCTACTCACCCCTTTACAGGGATGCTGGGGGGACCATTAAAGGGGAGAATGTTTTTAAAAAGTCGGTGAGAGACTGTAATCCCGCCAAGGCCGGTGGATCACCTGAAGTCACGAGTTTGCGACCAGCCTGGGGAACATGGTAAAACCCTGTCTCTACCAAAAATACAAAATTAGCCTGGTATGGCGGCGGGCATCTGTAATCCTAGCTAGTCGGGAGGCTGAGGCAAGAGAATCACTTGAACCTAGGTGGCAGAGGTTGCAGTGAGCCAAGATCACGCCATTGCACTGCAGCCTGAGCCACAAGAGCAAGACTCCATCTCAAAAACTCGACAAGCAAAATCCTTTAAAAAGTAAACAAGGCAGCCAGTGTGGTGGCTCACATCTGTAATCCTAACACTTTGGGAGGCAGAAGTTCAAGACCTGCCTGGGCTCTGTGGCGAAACCCTGTCTCCACAAAACAAAAAAAAAAAAAAAAAAAAAACGTCAGATGTGGTGGTACGCACCTGTGGCCCCAGCTACTTGGGAGGCTGAGGTAGGAGGATTGTTTGAGCCCAGGAGGTCTAGGCTGCAGTGAACCTCTGATCGCACCACTGCACTCCAGCCTGGGCAGCAGAGCAAGATCCTGTCTCAAAATAAAATAAAATGATAAATTGGCCAGGCACAGTGTCTCACACCTGTAATCCCAGCACTTTTGGAGGCCAACGTGGACGGATCACTTGAAGCCAGAAATTCAAGACCAGCCCTGCCAACATGGCGAATTCCTGTCTCTACTAAGAACATACAAATTAGCTGGGTGGGACGGGCGCGCCTGTAGTCCCAGCTACTCGGGAGGCTGAGGTGCGAGGATCACTTGAACCCAGGAGGTGGAGGTTGTAGAGACCAAGATCATACCACTGCACTTCAGCCTGGGCGACAGAGCAAGACTGTCTCAAAAACTAACTAAATCAATCAATAAAAATAAAATAATAAATAATTTTAAAAATACGTATAGGCCGGGCGCGGTGGCTCAAGCCTGTAATCCCAGCACTTTGGGAGGCCGAGGCAGGTGGATCACCAGGTCAAGAGATCCAGACCATCCTGGTCAACATGGTGAAACCCCGTCTCTACTAAAAATACAAAACATTAGCTGGGCATGGTGGCGCCTGCCTGTAATCCCAGCTACTCAGGAGGCTGAGGCAGGAGAATTGCCTGAACCCAGGAGGCGGAGGTTGCGGTGAGCCGAGATCGCGCCATTGCACTCCAGCCTGGGTAACAAGAGCGAAACTCCGTCTCAAAAAAATAAATAAATAAAGGCAGGCACGGTGGTTCATGCTTGTAATCCCAGCACTTTGGGTGGATCACCTGAAGTCAGTAGTTTTGAGACCAGCCTGGCCAACATGGTGAAACCCCGACTCTCCTAAAAAGACAAAAATTGGGCCAGGCGTGGCGGCTGACGCCTGTAATCCCAGCATTCTGGGAGGCTGAGGCGGGTGGATCACGAGGTCAGGAGATCGAGACCATCCCGATCAAAGTGCTGAAACCCCGTCTCTACTAAAAATACAAAAATTAGCTGGGCATGGTGGCGTGTGCCTGTAATCCAAGCTACTCTGAAGGCTGAGGCAGGAGAATTGCTTGAACCCAGGAAGCAGAAGTGGCAATGGGCTGAGATCACGCCACTACACTCCAGCCTGGGCAACAAGAGTTAAACTCCGTCTCAAAAACATACTGAAATAATAGATCAAATATAAAACACAGTTCCAGATAAATTGACCGTTTTTTTTTTTTTCTTTTTATTTACTGATTTATTTTTTAAAGATAGGGTTTCACCATGTTGGTCAGGCTGGTCTTGAACTCCCGACCTCAGGTGATCCACCGGCCTTGGCCTCAGAAGTGCTTGGATTACAGGCGTGAGCCACCGCGCCCAGCCGGACCCTTTTTTTTTCTTAGTATAAGTACCTCCCCAATCTCGCATGGGCTAGACTTATACTAACAAGATTTTGGGTTAACCAGAACTCGTGTCACTGGGCGACCTGTACTGTGTCTGGCCACCTTGCTGAGAGACAGAGTCACTTGCTTGGTCACCCAGCAGGTTGTTACAGGCTGGGGTAGGGAAACTGAGGTCTCAGGGTTACCTGAGGTGGGGGGTGAGTGTGGGAAGAGGAAAACCGTGTCCAGGCAGAGTCTGACCCCTCAACTTCTCTCTCTCTCTCTCTCTTTCTCTCTCTCTCTTCTCTCTCTCTCTCTCTCTCTCTCCACCTCCACCCCTTCTTTCTCTCTCCCCTCCCCCCGTCACCACTGGGCCTGCTCAGTCCTGGTATCTGGGATAGCAAAGGTCGTCTTCCCTTGCCCCTTCTCCGTCGTCCCAGGAATCCCAGGGGGCAGCACAGCCGGCCCCCGGCCCACGTTTCCGGTGGAAAATTAGAGTGAACAAGAACACCCCCGCCGACTCCCAGCCCGGCCGAAAAGACAACACACAGACGCACACGCGCAGGGGGCAAAGAAAAATACAAAGGAAGAAAAGAAGAAAAAACCCACCCAACCTAGAAGACAAAAGGTAAAGACAGCGTTTCCAGCTCTCTGGATGCCAAGGCCGCAGGACTGGAGGGCCAGCCCCCGCCACCCCACGGGAGCCCCGGGACAGGGGCGTCTTCCGAAGTCACTCATCTCTCTGCCTGCTGCTTCGGGAAGGACAGACGCCCGCCGCCCGCCCACGCCCCCGAGGCCCTGGCTCTGTCCGGAGGAGACCCAGGTGAGCGCAGCCTGGAGCCTGCACCCAGGGCCGACAGGCGTGACACCCAGCAAGGCCACCTCTCCCCGGGCCCCGAACCTCTGCCGGACATGGACCGGCGCCTCCCCCAGGACGCAGCTGCTGGGGGGAAGGGAGACGCTGCGGACCCCGGCTGGGCAGCAGAGACCTCGGAGGTGGACAGGGTGGGGCAGGCGAGTGGCGTTTCGTGGCCCTGGCCAGGGGCGGAAGCTAGGCCCAGGCACCTGCTGCCCCTCCAGCGGGTCCTGCCTGCGCGGGGCCTCCCCACACGCCCTCCCAAAGCGCCGGCCGACTGGAGACAGCTGTCTGGCTGGGGACTCAGCCCTCGTGCCCGCCCGCCCGTTTGGGAGGAGAAGTCTATGCAATCGACCCCACCCCCCACCCCGGCACCGGAGGCCCCCCACCCCAGCTCGCCCAGCTCACACCCGCAAAGGGAGGGACCCACATTGCACACACTGTAAGAAATGCACTTTCCGAGGAAGGGGACGGGGGAGCCGGGACACCCAGAGCTCCCCGAGTTGGGGGGTGCCCTTCTGGAGCCCCCCATGAGCCCCTGGCGGTGGGAGGTGAGAGCGAGTGGTTTAAGTGCCTGATTCCCACCACCCGCCCCCCCCTTTGTCCAGCTGGGACACGGAGTGGCCACGGGCCTCCTCCCCCACCCCTCCAGTCCCCCCACCGGCCCCTCCAGTCCCCCCTCATCGCCGCGTCCCCCTCAGAGCTAGAGACACGGGCCCCTGCGCGGCCCGAGAGGCAGAGCTGGGCGTCACCTCCCGAGCGTCCTGCCCTGCCGGGGTGCGGGGGTGGGCTCTGGGGAAGCCGGCGCGCCCGCCACGCCTCCGCTGCCAGTGCCTTACATTCTGGAGCGACCCCCGTCCCCGGTGCCTCCCAGCCCAGGGGGACGCAGTTTGCACTTTCATCGTCCGCCCCCCCGCAGGGCACCCCGCCAGAGGATGCGACTCATGGCTGGGTCCCCAGAGAGAAGAGGCTGGCGCCAGTGCCAGTGGGTCCTCGCTCGGGATGGGGAGGGCTTTGGGTGGGGGTTCGGCGTCGCACCTCGGGGCCCCCCGCGGCCGTGTAGGGGGCCTTCCATCTGCTAAGCGTTTTCCGTTGAGCCGCTCCAAAAACACTAAGCTGGGGACGCCAGGTCCCCCCACCCCACCCCGGCTCCCCGGCCCCACCCACACCTCCACCTCCACCCCGGGATCGCCATCTTTAGGGGAGGCCTCGGGGGAGGTGTTAGGTGTTTTAGGGCCACCGAGCTCAAACACAAGGACCCCTCCCAGCCCAGCCCCAACTGACCTCCATGCCTAGGGGGAAACCCCCCCCCCCCGCCACAGCCCCCACCCAGGCCAAAGCCAGGGCAGGGCCTCCGGGTCTCACCTGCTCCCAGCCTCGCTCCACCCCCCCCCCAACCTGTCCCGAAAACCAGACTCTCCTCCCAAACCAGCCCCAGGGGCTTGGCGAACACGCTCGCTCCTAAAGAGAAAGACCCAGGACCCTTCCCTGTCACCCCCGAGAGGTTCCCCATCCTCTGGCCTCAGTCCCTTGGTCCGTCCGTCTGTCCTCAGGGCCCTGGCCCCCTGCCCCCACCCCGTGGCCCTTGAGGACCAAGCGTGGGCCGCTCTCCAGGAGGACGGGAGTGGGCGGGGGGCGTAGGGTCGTGCTGTTGGAGTATCTGGAAGCTTCTCAGCCAGGGTGGGGGTCGTGGGTGGGGGAGGGGGGCCAGCCGGGCTCCCGAGGGGTCAGGGCGCATCGAGAACCAACTCTTTACCCAACTTTGCATGGTGCTTAGTCAAGGACTCCTGTGTCCTGGCCCCTGAGGTCGGCTGGCGCGCTGACACACATGCATGGCAGATTATACCTGGCTCTATCTCCCTCCCCCTCGCCCCCCTCCACCCCCTACTCCCTCTTTAAAAAAAAAAAAAAGATACAAAAAAAAAAAACCTTAAAAAAAATTCCATGTTTCCTAATTTGCACGAAATTTTCTACCACAAAATGTGCCTTGCCTTCCAAGAATAAGTATTACCTTTAAACAATATCAGCGCACACACATAGCTGCATGTTCTGCTCGTGTAGTTAAAAAAAAAAAAATACAAAACAGTGACATGAAATAAAAAATAAACATTGAAAAGGGATGTATTTCTATTTGTAAAAAAAATAATAAAAACAAAAAATAAGAAAGTGAGAATCTTAAAAAAAAAAAAAGAGGAAGAAAAACCATGCTAAAAAGTCACTAAAAACAATTGCCCCCAGGTCTCCCGTCCTCTGGCTCCCTTCTGTTCTGTCTCCCTTCCTGCTGTATTCAGGGGTGCCCCTGGTGCTCAGCCTCTACCACCCCCAGCCCTGCTCTTGGGTTCCCAGAGGGGTCATTTCTGAATCCCCTGCCCAGAGGACAGGCCTCCGGGGCTCATCCTGGCCCCAGGGAAGGGCTCTCCTCTCCGATTGGTCCCTGGGCCGTGGGCTGGCAGGTGACACCATTCACTGACCCACTGCAGGCTATTCCCCCCCCAGCCATAGGGTGGCCACCCCGCCCGCAGCCAGACTCCCCCACCCCACCTTCCATGCAGACTGGCGTACCCCCGCTCAGGGTCAAATGCTGCCCTCCTCCCCCCTCGGAGGCACTCCCCCTCCCCTGCCCCATGCACCCCCCACCCTTCTTGCCAAAGGACCCGATTTTCCCCTCTCCGGAGCCCACCCTCCTCCGTCCCCTTCGCCCTGTCTTCCGTCTTCCAGCTGTGAGTAGGAAGTATCCGGTATGAAAAACAAAAAAAACAAAACCTGATATATGCAATATCTGTCTGTCTACACCCTTGGGCCTGGCTCAGCCACCGGAGGCCCCGCTGAGGGTCCGGCAGGGCCCAGGACAGCCAGGCGGCACCGAGTCACCGGCCGCGGTCCGGTGGCTGACCATGCTGTTGTCTTCTCCTTGATTCTACTTTCTCTTGTCCTTTCTCTTTCTTTTTGTGTTTAACTCCAGCTTCCTTTGCTTTTTTCTGGACCAAAGCTAAGACAATAGCCAGATGGTTAGCGGGGCAGCCAGGCAGGGAGGACCCGGGGTGGGATGCCAGCCTTAGGCTGTTCCTGCAGTCCTCGGCACCTCCAGCCCCTCCCGGGCCCTTCAGGCATCTCATGCAGGGACCCACACAGATGGTCCCATTCATTCACCATTGCCCGCCGCCAGGGTGCCGGGTGGTCTCCACAGCCACCGTCATACGCTCATCCCATGTTTTCTTCCAAAAAGACACCTCAGCAGTCTCCCCAGGCGACACAGAGGGAGAGCCCAGACCCTCACAGCTGGCCATGACATTACCCTTAAGAACTGTCCCTTGGTCAGAGAGCCCGGGCTGGCTGTGCCCACCATCCATGTCACTGATGTCTAGCTTTTTTCTTCCCCCTCCTTAGCAAATGTGTCTTGCCAGGGAACTGGGAACAGCCAGCAGCAAAGGGAGTGGGTGGTTGCCTGGACCATCACGTCCCTGCACAGCCCACACCCGGGGCCCAGAGCCCCTGCAGAAGGAAGGCCGGGCACCGCCCTCCTCACCCCAAGCTTGCATCCTGGGCTCACTCAGCACCGTGGCTGAGCACAGCAGGTGAACTCGTGCCGGGCAGCACATTGTGGATGGTTTCGTTCCCTCTCCCCCCCCCCTCCCCGTTTCTTGTAAAAGCTACAGGATCGCCGTAGGGCACAATTCCTGGGCACCTTCGCTGCAGACAGGCAAAAACACCAGGAACCAGGATTCCATGCCCACCTCTGCAGTCTGCGTTCACAGAAGGGATGCCGTCATCCCTGGGTGGAGGGGCAAGGTGTGGGTTTTGGTGTTTTTTGTTTGTTTGTTTGTTTGTTTGTAACTTGTATGAAACTGACATCTTGAACCTCATCCCACCCCCTCCCGAAGCCCCCCTCACCCACCCCTGCCATGGGCACCACACTCATGCTAAGCCCCCTGGTCTTATTCTGGGGTCTGCCCATGCTGTGGGAAAGAATAGGGAGGCCTCCCAAATATATGCAAATCATCTCCATTCCTTTCTCTGGGCGGAGGGACTTGACACCAACCCAGGTGGAGATGGAGCCGGACGGAGTAGGAAGGCCCCAGGGGGAGGGGATCTGGAGTCCTTCACCTCCAGGTCCGGAGCCCAGGTTCTGACCCCAGAACCCCACCCTGGGCTAGACAATCAGATCCCAAAGGAAGGCCGAAGGGAACTCGGTTGGGAGAGCTGTTTAGAAGCTAGACCTGCTTGCACCCCCCACCCCCGACAGCTCTCCAGGCAGCAGACAATTCCAGCCTCCCTGCCCCAGGACCTTCTGTCTGTCCCCAGCGACAGTGGCATCCCAGGCACGGACAGACTTAGCTGCACCCCATTGTCCCTTGCAAGACAGGTCTTGGAGCCAGGAGCAACTGTCCAGCCCTCCAGAAGAGACAGCAAGCAGGCCCCCTCCCACCCTGGCCTCCCTAATGGTACTTTGACCTCCAGTGTAGGGCTACACTATACATACATATATATATATATATACACACATACACACACACACACATAATTTTGGAATTTGTCCTAATACAGAATATACAGTGGCTACCTTTTTCTGAGACCCCAGACTTTGCTTGCTTTTTGGAGGGCGCTGGGACATGCATCTCTCAGTCCAGCTTCCTCCTCATCTTCCCATCTTTCCTCATTTCTGCCCCATTGGACACTTAAGGGTCTCACCTCCAGACCTACACCACTGCCCATCCGTCACTCCGTGGTTCAGTGTCCGGGATCAGCCCACCACCCTCGGCCTCCCCGCACCGCTGCCCCCGGGGCAAGGTGAGGAGGCGGACCCAAAGCAATACCAGCAGGACCTGTCGTCAGTGATACCAAAACAGACTTTTCCCAAGCAGTGCCTCACACGTCCACTGGTGTGGCTTTGAGATTCTCCTGCCCCTCTTTCCCTGGCAGCCCCTTTCCCCAAGGCTTTGCTCATACCTGAGGCAGGAAGGAGGAAGGGGATCCCACAGGAATAAGGGCTCCAGAGAGGAAGGAAGTCATGCATCCCCAAGCCACCACCCCACCAGCCTTCGGCGCACATCTCCTGGCTGGAAGAGAACCCTCCAGAAAGGGGACAGTGGCTGCCCCAGCCCCTCAACTGCATCCACACCCCATCCTCTCATCTTGGGTCCCAGCCAGGCCCCCCCAAAACCAAAGTCCCCTCAAATCCAGGGGTCCCAGCCCGTGCCCCCAGCTTCCTGCCCACCCAGCCCCGAACACCCTCACACAGGGAAAGAAGCAAAAGCTCGATATGTGGGGACAGGATGGGACAGGTGATACAGTGGGGGGTCGGGGGCAGCAAGGAGGAGGGAGAGAGAACATTTTCCTTTTTGGGTAATTTTTTTTTCTGTTTTTCTTCCTCCCCCGTTGCTGTTTGGGTGGTGCTGCTTTTCCTTTCCTCTTCCCTTTGAGATTTTTGTTGGTTTGCTTCCGTTTTGTATTTTACTGATATTACCAGGATAGTTTACTCTCCTTCTAGCTTTCTGCTTACTGCACACCGGATAACACACGTACGCACCCACAAAAATGCTTACAAACCCAACCCAGAGAAGGTTCTGGCTGGGTCCCCCGCCCTCCCCCTCCTCCTGCTCCTCCCGATGGCGAGGACAGGAGGGGGACCAGGGGACACGTGGGCCGACCCGCCGGCCCTCTCCCCCACCCCGCCCCTCACATCATACTCCGATCATAACCTTGTATATTACGCAGTCATTTCGGTTTTCGCAGGAGCGCCTACCCAAGTACCATTTACAGAAAGTGACTCTGGCTGTCATTACTTTGTTTGTTTGTTCCCTATGCAAAAAAAAAAAAGAAAAAGAAAAAAGGGGGATTCCATAAAAGATTCAATAAAAGATTTAAAAAAAAAAAAAAAAAAGAAAAAAGAAAAAAAAATGTATAAAAATTAAACAAGCTATGCTTCGACTCTTTCCGGCTGTGGCAGACCCTCTTTTCCGTGTCGTGTGTGGGTTGCTGTGTCCTTTGGACGAGTGAGGAGCCGAGGCTGCAGGGGCGGGGGCCGCAGGGAGCTGGGGGGACCCTGAACCCCATAGATAGTCAGGCTGGGATTCTGAAAGCTTCAGATCAAATGCTCCCTGGGGCATTATTTTTACTTTTTATTTTGAGCTGGAGTCTTGCTGTGTCACCCAGGCTGGAGTGCAGTGATGTGATCTCGACTCTGCAGCCTCCACCTCCCAGGTTCAAGCGATTCTCCTGCCTCAGCCTCCTGAATAGCTGGGATTACATGTGCCCACCAGCACGCCCGGCTAATTTTTGTATTTTTAGTAGAGACGGGGTTTCCCCATGTTGGCCAGGCTGGTCTCAAACTCCGGACCTCAGGAGATCCGCCTACCTCAGCCTCCCAAAGTGCTAGGATTACAGGCCTGGGCCACCATGGCAGGCCCCCCGGGGGCATTATACAATGTTTGGGGACATTTGTGGTTGCCATTGCTGGGGGATGCTCCTGGCGTGGAGTGGGTGAAGGCCGGGGACACTGCTCAGCACTCTGCAGTGCCCAGGACTGAGATTGAGCCACACAAAACGTCCACAGTGCCCGGCAGGGACAGACCTTTGATTACTTGGGAAGAAAAAAATCAGATTTGCTCCCTGCCCACTGTAGACACCAGGATAAGCTCCCGATGCGGCAGACGGCGTAATCCAGGGTGACCCCCAACTCCTGGGATCCTCCCTCCCTCCCTCTCCACTCAGGGTGTGGATTCCAAAGCGTGCAGCCTCCTGGGACCTCAGCAGGGCAGAGGATCATGGGACGCAGTCTGTTGGCGGGAGGTGGGGGGGTCCATGGAATCCCCTAACCCGGCCGGGCGCGGTGGCTCACGCCTGCAATCCCAGCACTTTGGGAGGCCGAGGCGGGCGGATCACGAGGTCAAGTGTTTGAGACCATCCTGGTCAACATGGTGAAACCCCGTCTCTACTAAAAATACAAAAATTAGCCGGGTGTGGTGGTGCACGCCTGTAATTCCAGCGACTCGGGAGGCTGAGGCAGGGGAATCGCTTGAACCCGGGAGGCGGAGGTTGCAGTGAGCCAAGATCACACCACTGCACTCCAGCCTGGGTGACAGAGTGAGACTCAAAAAAAAAAAAAAAAAAAAAAAAGGTGTGAGAGGGGACAGGTGTGGTGGCTCATGCCTGCTATCCCAGCATTTTGGGAGGCCGAGGCAGGTGGATCACTTGAGGTCGGGAGTTTGAGACCAGCCTGGGCAACATGGTGAAACCTGTCTCTACTAAAAATACAAAAATTAGGTCAGGCACAGTGGCTCACGCCTGTAATCCTAGCACTTTCGGTGGCCGAGGTGGGTGGATCGCCTGAGGCCAGGAGTTCGAGACCAGCCTGGCCAACACGGCGAAACGCTGTCTCTTCTAAAAATACAAAAATTAGCTACGTGTGGTGGCGGGCACCTGTAATCCCAGCTACTCGGGAGGCTGAAGCAGGGGACTTGCTAGAACCCTGGAGGTGGAGGTTACAGTGCACCGAGATTGTATCACTGCACTGCAGCCTGGGCAATGGAGCAAGACCCTGTCTCCAAAAAAAAAAAGAAAAAAAAAAAAAAAAAAAAAAGCCAGACATGGTAGTGCCTTTCTCTAATCGCAGCTACTTGGAAGGTGGAGGTGATCGCTTGAGCCTGGTTGGTAGAGGCTGCAGTGAGCCAAGATCGAGCCACTGCACTCCAGCCTGGGTGACAGCAAGACCCTGGCTCAAAAACAAAGTGTGAGAGGCTATTTCTTGGAGGGCTGAGATGGCGCCCTCCATCCTGTCCCCCATCCAAAACCCCAATACTCCAGGATGGGCCAGGAAAACGCTCTTTGCCCCATGGGCTCCTACTATCCCACCCACAAGACCACAAGGCAGGGACGATACTTTTTTACAAATGAGGAAACTGAGGCACAAAAAAAGCAAGGTGAGGTGGGTTGACAGGGCCCAGGCACAGTGCGTCCTTGCCAGTACACGGCCCCACGCCACTCCCCGATGACAGGCACTGAGGACATCGAGGATGGGGGGTCCGAGGCCCCTTCCCACTCCCAACTTGGGTGGCCCCTGCCGCCCTCAGCACCGAGGTTTTGGCGCCCCCTTGTGGGCAGACCGGGGACCCCCACGCACCTCCCCCCTCCCAGCCCCTATCTTTCTTGGAGGAGGTATCCTGTAGAGCGGGGGGTTAAGCCGAGTTCAGGGGGGTCTCAGCTGGAGTCGGCGGGGCCGGGGTGGAGACTCAGCCTGCCCCGCCCTGGATCTCAAGGAAAGCCTCCGTCACGTCCAACCCTTGTCCCCTGGGTGATGCGATTCCTGGCTGGGAGTTGGGGTCTGCCCCAGCATGGCAGGCTGTTGGGTTGGTCACCCCTGGCTCCCCATCCTGAAAGGGGGGCAGGCTTGTGACAACCCAAAATGCCCCCGGCAAACAAATTCCAAACGCAGCCGGGTGCAGTGGCTCATGCCTTTAATCCCAGCACTTTGGGAAGCCAAAGCGGGCGATTGAGACCATCCAAGCTAACACGGTTGAAACCCCGTCTCTTTAAAAATAATAGTAAAATAAAATAAAAAGAATAGTAAAAGAAAGATAGAAATGGTAATTGTGGCCCGGCTGACACAGGAGAATCGCTTGAACCCAGAAGGTGGAGGTTGCAGTGAGCCGAGATCGTGGGCAACAGAGGGAGACTCCTCCTCAAAAAAAAAAGAGAAATGCTCATTTGTTGAGGGCAAGGTCCAGGGCCTGGAGAAGGTGAGGGGAAGAGGGAGAACAGAAACTGGGAAAGGAAGTGCTAGTCGCTTTCCAAGATATTGCAGAGCCCTGGGACACCCCCACCCTCCAGGATCCAGTTCCCAGGAACAAAGCCACGTGCCCCGAGAACACGATTGGGGGTGGGGGGAAGGAGCAAAGATTTCCCTGGAGACGGCGCTCAGGGCACAAAGTCCAGGGCTCAGGACAGCAGAAACCAGATTGGGGGGGGAGTTTAACCAGATTAAACCAGTTTAATCTGCCCAGGGCATCTGGGCACCTGCGCAGCCTGAGCACCCATATCATATGCCCAGCCATCACCCCCAGCCCCAAAAGCAGCCTCCTTCCCCAGAGGTAAACTGAGTCCCGAGAGATGACAGGAGCCCTTCCAAAGGGCTCTTAGGAATTCTTTAATCCAGGCCATCAGGAAGCAGCCCTTGGCTGACAGCAGCTGCATGGGAGAGGGGAAGTTCTGGCCAGCAGACATCAGGCAGAGAGAACAGAAACCAGGCAGTGGGTAGAAGCAGGTGGAGCCATGAGATTGTGGAGGGTTGCAGGTGTCTCCTCAACCAGGAATGTTCTCCAAGCATCGGAAGAATCACCAGGCAGGGACCAAGCTCAGGCAGAGGGGTGCATGAAAACAATATGATGCCCAGAGAGCCCCCATGGAGGGCGGTGGGGTGGGATCAAGCCTCCTTCACTTGAGAACACTGTATTCTGAATCCCAGATGGAGTCCTTTCACTGGTTTCAATGCCAGGGCGTTGCTTGCAGGGGGCAGAAGAGGCATCTCTGGGGGACTGCCTGGAAGAAGCAGCCAGGAATCTTTACATGGCTGTGTTCTTTGCTCTCCCTTGGTCTTGGGGCTCTTCTTCCTCCAGCTCCAGTCCCAAGTTGCTCTCTCCTTCCTTGCCTGCCTTTTTCTCCTTCCTCTTCTCTTCTTTCCCCTTGGCATCTTTCTTCTCCCTCTTGTCTTCACTGTAGGGATACAAAGGCCCCAAACCATAATAAGAAACAGAGTCGTTCCTATTTAATGACCATTCATTTGAGCCAGCCCATGTGATGAGTGTTTTACAAGGTGGTATCTCAGTGAATCTTCAAAATAACCCAGACTACGCAGCCTCACGATTTCCATTTCACAAAGACAGCAACTAAGCCTCAGTTGCTCCATGGAGTGTTGGATGGATGGAAAGAAGCCAAAGGGCCCCTGTTGCCTCTTGGGACTCAGTTTACCCCTGGGGAAGGAGACTGCTTTTCAGGCAGGGGGCCGTGGCTGGGTAGATGATATGGAGGTTCATGCTGCATATCATCATCACAACAAAGACTCAATTGCGGGCTGGGCACGGTGGCTCACGCCTGTAATCCCAGCACTTTGGGAAGCTGAGGCGGGCAGATTGCCTGAGCTCAGGAGTCTGAGACTAGCCTGGGCAACACAGTGAAATCCTGTCTCTACTAAAATACAGAAAAAAAAATTAGCCGGGAGTGGTGGTGGGCGCCTGTAATCCCAGCTACTCAGGACGCTGAGGCAGGAGAATTGTACGAACCGGGGAGGTGGAGGTTACAGTGAGCTGAGATCGCGCCACTGCACTCCAGGCTGGGTGACAGAGCGAGACTCCATCTCAAAAAAAAAGACTACATTGCTCGATGGATGGATGGATGGATACATGGGTAGGTGGGTAAAGAAGTTGGAGGATAGAAGGGTAGATGGGTAGGTGGATAGTGGGTGAATGGATGGATTATGGATGGGTGGATGGGAAGGATGGGTGTATAGATGAATGGGTGGATGGATAAATGGGTAAGTGGTTGGAAGGATGGATGGATGGATGGACAGATGGATGATGAATGAGTAGATGAATGAATGGGTGGGTGGGTGGGTGGATGGATGGATGGGTGGGTGGATGATGGATGGATGGGTGGGTGGCTGGATGAATAGAGAGTAGTTATTGAATGGATGGCTGCATGGAGGTTGAATAAATGAATTGGAAGATAAATGGATACATTGCAGGAAGGAGAGAATGATGGATCAGTGGATGGGTGGATGGAGGATGAGAATGGGAGTAAAGATGGATGTGTAGATCAATGAACTAATGTATAGGTGGATGGATGGACGGATGAGTAGATAAGAGTTAGGAGAACTGATGGTTGCATAGAGGCAGGGACAGATTAATAGGGAGATGAGTGGATGAATTGGAGGAAGAAGAGA